GGAGAATTTTGGAATATTTGCAGAATATTGTAAATATTGAAGATGGGACCCAAGTCTAAACATGGGTTATATTTTGTATACACCTTACACAAACTGCCTGAAAGTAATTTTATATATATTTTAAATAAATTTGTGCATGAAACAAAGTTTGTGTACATTGAACCCTCAGAAAACAAAGCTACCACTATCTCACCCAGTGGTGTTCCTGCACCAGGTGTGACCCAGTGTGTGTGTGTGTGTGTGTGAGAGGGTGGGTTCCCAGGGGGCAGGACTTCCGGTTGGGTTTCGGGGACAGTTTCCGGGGATGGCACACACTCTCTCTCCGTGAGCCAGTCTGTCCTTTTCCTGATGCTGAAAAGGACAGGACGGTGCTTGGAAGCCAGAGCACACATGGGGGAAACAGAGATGCATGCGTGGTGGACAGACCATGGGGGATGGTGCAGGGGGCCCTGACTGGGTGTCACCCCCCTTCTGGGGTGTCACCCAGTGCAGTATGAACCCCCCACATCCCCCAGTGACACTACTCATCTCACATACCCATATGGATGATTTTGGAGAATTTCGTATTTTGGAATTCCATATAAGAGATAGTCATCGTGTGTGTGTATGTGTGTATACTTGTCTCTCCTGGTTTGCAGACTTGCCGTTCATGGTTTTAATCCTTCGCAGACAGCAAACCAGGAGGGGCAAAATGGCATGCGTGCGTGTGTGCGGCGGCACACACAAGAACACACCATCATTAAAATAAATGGGACTTGAATATCCACTTTTTTTCCTGTGGGTGGTGGTGGTCCGGAACGGATCCCCTGCGAACAAAGAGGGATGACTGTGTGTGTATGGGTGTGTGTACACACACACACACGTCCCTCCTGGTATGCAGACTTGCTGTTTGCAGTTTTGATCCTTCGCAGACGACAAGCTAGGAGGAACAAAATGGTGCCATTAAAATAAGCGAGGCTTGGACATCCATGTTTTTCCCCATTTGCAGGGTAGGTGGGTCCGGAACGGATCCCTTGCGAACCGGGAAGGACAACTGTGTATGTGTGTGTGTATAATATCATTCCACGTTGTTTCTGTAATACACTGATTACTCATATTGTTTTATAACTAGATAACATTCATTGCCTTTGTATCAATCTCATTCATATTTTGTACACATTTAGATGGCCAGTAACTTCAGTTTAACTTGTTCAACATTTTCATTATATATTCATGTTTTTGTAATTATATTGTTCTGGAGTCATGTGTTCTTTAAGGATTTTGTTCTCTTTAAGGATTTTGTTGTGGTAAGAACACAGTACATAGACCAGTCACTACCACACACAAAAAAACCCCAACCCTTGGACACACCATCACCTAAATGACTACATATGCACACACACATCTTTATAATCACCCCCAAAATTAGAAGCAGCAGAACAAACATATTAACATATAGTGTGTGTGTGTTATGCAGCTCAGTTTCTCCTAGCTCAGAATATGAATCTTTTTAAAAACTCTGTGAACACAGTTCTGGTTTTAAAAAATAAAATGTACTCCACATGTGTTTAATTTCTGAAGGTATGCTTAACCATAAAACATCTTCCATTTCAAATGCATATAAATTAGAGCTTAAAATGGCATATAAATTAAAGTTGGGGCATTTAGTTAATTGGCTGGCTTAATCACTTGATTTTAAAACATTATGAGCCACTAAAAAAGATGCCCTTGAATGATCAGGCACAACATTTAGTTTATTAATGTTACAGAAGCTGGAGATGGGAAGCAACATCTTAGAAGAGGCATTCCCCCTTGTGTGAGAGCATACTTCATAGGCTGCATCCACACTGCAAAAATAATCCAGGTTGACACTACTTCAACTGCCATGGCTCAAAGCTATGGAATGTTGGTAATTATAATTTTGTAAGACATTTAGCCTTCTCTGTCACAGTGCTCTGGTGCTACAACAAACTACAATTCCCCAAATTCCCTAGCACAGGTCCATGGCAATTAAAGTAGTGTCAACCTTGGAACTGTAACTGATTGTGGCACGAGAGCTCTCTGACATCGAAGGTTAAAAGTGTCACAAAACTACATTTCCCAGAATTCCATAGCATTGAGCCAGGGCAGTTAAAGTGGTGTCACACCGGATTATTTCTGCAGTGCAGTCAATTAAATACATATTCTGGCAATGGTAGATGTGAATCACATTTTTGTTTTATCTTAGAAGGTGAATTATCAGACACTGTAATTATATTTCCTATTTCAATAGTATTATGTGTCCAGATACATTTTATACTAAATGAAAGTACTGATTTCATTTACCTTAGCCACATATTCCTTTGTAAAAGTAACATATTGTCCACATTCATAAATTACATGATACATAAATTTCTCTCTTTATGGAGGGCCCACGCACCCAAAATACAGGATTTTTAAACATCTTGTTCAGTCTATATAAAACAGGGCAAATCACTTTTAATAAGGGACACCTGGTGAACCTAGCTACAGGGGATACCATATGCATTTGGAGAGAATTGCATATGCTGGATTTTATGTGTGTGATTAGGTATCCTTGAGTACTCAAAAAACACCAAGATCTTTCTGCAGCATCCATCCAGAACTCTCTTTTTTAAAAAAATATCTCTGGTAATGTATTAAATGGGTAGATTACAAGATGCACATATCAAAAAAGCGTAGATCAGGGATTAGGGAACTGGGACTCAGGCTGCATCCATACTGCAGAAATAATCCAGTTTGACACCGCTTTAACTGCCATGGCTCAACACTATGGAAATCTGGGATTTGTAGTTTTGTGAAACACTTAGCCTTTTCTGTCAGAGCACTCTGTTGTCACAACAAACTGCAAATCCCAGGATCCCATAGCATTCAGCCACAGCAGTTAAAGTCCTGTCAAACTGGATTCTTTCTGCAGTGCGGATGCAGCCTCAGAGGGTCTAGGCTGAAACTTTAGGGATGGATTCACTGAGCAACCTTCTTAGGCAAATTAATCACCCTCTTGGATGGATTTCTTGCCATCTTGAAAGGCAGGATATTAAATATTTCAATGTAAATTCACTGCTCAATCTTGACTTGGGCCTGGAATTAAGTGAAATGGAAAGGAATGACATTTTGCTTCACGTGGCTTCACACTGAAGGCAAACTACAGCCGAAAAGTATTTTTACCTGCCTTGAGGCTTAGGGGATGAAGCGCGATGTTAAATAAGTCAATATATTTACTTCAGATGATGTCTTCAGGGGAAGGGCAGAGTTATAAATAGCCTCAGTCTCCAGCTTCATTTTCATTACTTCTTATTCAGTTTCCATTATTAGTCAACCTTTTCCTCCCTGTCTCCACTCCACACCCAAGCTCTACATGCCAGCAAAACTGAAAAACATCATTTGGGCAAAAGAGGCTTTATGTTTGCTGTCAACCTGGTATGGGGAGGATCTCAGCATCCATTTGAAAGCAGTGACTGAAAAGGAGGCTAAGGATTTCTGGGGGAAAGTGGCTGACAGGAGGAAGGAAGATCAGGAATTGGTTAGCATTTTTTAAAAAAGATGAAGACTCCCTATGGGTGTTGCCCATTCCTCTGCAGTTCAGCTTCTGGTTCGACTGCAGTGAGAAAAACACTGCATATAGAAAAACAGTGCCATCAGTCCGTCCGTCCGCCACTCAAACACAGAGGCAAGACTGCAGCAGAACTGCAGACCACGCATTCTGGAAAATACAAGTCACGTGGCCACTTTCCTCTTTTCCCCTCCCTCTCTTACTTCAGATCCAAGTTGTAAACAAGCTTGCAGCTGACTCAGAGCCAGAACCCTGTCTCTCAGCTTCAATGGGTGGAAGAAGCAAGCAGAGATGATTTGTTTTTTGATGGTGGGGAAGAAGGCACATAGATGACATGGAGGCAAGGGAGAAGACTGGGGGTGAGGAGGAAAAAGAGAGCATGCAGTTCTTGAATCAGGATGGTTTGCCTTTTTCCTCTTGCTCTTCTGCTTCAGGTCACATAATAATAATAATAATAATAATAATAATAATAATAATAATAATAATAATAATTTCTATCCTGCCTCTCTGTCAAACAATCGAGGCGGCTCACAGCATTAAAACTCCATACGATGTTAAAATACAATCCAAAATCCACAAACACTCCCACCCCTTAAAACAGAATTAAACTAATGATAACGTTAAAACATAATACTTAAAAACCTTTTAAATTATATAAAAACCTAACTGGCAGCAATAGACTGAACAGAGGATTGCAGCCAAAGTAGGGATAATGGGAATCCTGAGGCCGGGAAATCTAGTCAGGAAAGGCCTGCCAGAAGAGATCCGTCTTCACAGCTGTTTTGAAGCTGTTTAGGTTGGTAATCTGTCGGATCTTGTCCGGCAGGCCATTCCATAATCTGGGAGCGGTAGCCGAAAAAGTCCTCACAGGAGAGAAAACTCACAGTGGAGAAAAGTGTGTGTTGGGAATGAGAAGGATTATTTAGTAAGGTGTGTTGTTGTGTGCCTTCAAGTCATTTCCAACTTATGGCGACCCTAAGGTTTATCGTGGGGTTTTCTTGGCAAGATTTGTTCAGAGGAAGTTTGCCATTGCCATCCTGTGAGGTTGGGAGGGTGTGATTCGCCCAAGGTCATCCGATGGGTTCCATGGCTGAGTGGGGATTTGAACCCTGGTCTCCAGAGACACAGTCTAACACCCAAACCAATACGCCACACTGGCTGCTAGGACACATAATATATGTATGTACTGTAATGAACAGAAACTAAGATTGAGGACATCTCAGAATGCAAGGATTTTGAGATGAACAATGCTATACATTTTTTCTTGCACACACAATAGTACAGAAACCACTGGCAGAAAATATATATATATATATATACAGTAGTGGGGGGGGAATGGGAAAGATTATTTAGTAAGATGTTAGGACTCATATATGCATTTACTTATTTAATGAACAGAAACAAAGACTGAGGACAGAGGAATAGCAATGTCTCAGAATACAAGGATTCTGAGATTGAGGGCCCATTCACATGACGTTTTAAACCAGGGGTAGGCAACCTTTCCCCTTTAAGGGCCGAGGGACTTCAGCTCCCAGAATCCCAGGAGCTATTGGCCAACATGGGACTACTGGTCAACATGGCCAAAGCTTCTGGGAGCTGAAGTCCCTAGGTCCTTAAAGGGGAAAGGTTGCCTACCCCTGTTTTAAACTTATTTGCAAACTGGTTTAAACTGTAGTCGTTCACACTTGCACCAGGTTTTCCTGACCCAAATTTGGGGGTCGTTCACACTTGCACCGGGCTTTCCTGACCCGGATTTGGGGGGATGGTGCAAATCCCCCTTAACCCAGGGTTTTGTTTTTGTTTTTTTGAGATGGGGATTCCAGAGATTATTTTCAAAAGAACCAGGTTTTTTGCAGGAGCTGCCAATGGGAACTCAAGAGTTGATCCCATTCGGAGCATCCTGCCGCCTCTGTTCTTCCTCCTGTTCTTCCTCCTCTTCTCCCTCCTGCTGCCACTGTTCTTTCTCTTTCTTCTACCTCCTCTTCATCTTGCCCCTGCCGCGGCATCTGTTGTCCCTCCTCTTCCTCTGCCCCCTGCACCTGCCCTGGGAGTGCCTTCCTCTTCTTCCTCTTCCTCACCTGCTCCTGCCGCTGCGCCTGCTAGGATCGAATCTCTCCATGGCATTTTACCCCATTCCCGAGTGTGAACAGGAATTGGGATAAAATACCACGGAGAGAGTCGTTCATGGCAAATCAATGCCATGGAGAGATTCAATTGTGGCAAATCAATGGAAATAACCCAGTTTCCACACCGGGTTATTTCCTAGTGTGAATGGGCTCAAAGTATGCTATACAATTTTTCTTGCACACATGATAGTCCAAAAGCCACTGGCAGTAAAAAAATTATAGTAGTGGTAAAAAAGGCCCCATTACTGTGGTCTTCAGGATGAAGGTTGTTTGAAAAACAACAGCCTTTAGCATGAATTTGAATTTACTGGGATATGTCTTAACAAGCCCTGTGTTTTCCTTCAGTTCCAGGAAAATGTCATGTCTTTATTTTAGGGCTTGCTTCACTGCAGAACACAAGGGAGGGGAGTAGGAAATGGGAGATTGAAAATTTAGAGCAAAATAGATATAAAATACTTTCCTAAAGAGCAAAGCTAACTTGTTATTGGAAATTGGGTGGGGGGGGACCCTTCTTAATGTAATAACTTTATTAGGTATTGAAATTTTAAGTGCCACTACATTTTTGGAAAGGCAGTGGAAAAGAATTAAGGGACAAGAAGCAAGAGTATAGTCTTCTCTTCTTAAAATACAATCAATGAAAAGATCAGTCCCAAAGCACAAAAACACACACACAGGTGTATGATACAATGAAGCTATATGCGATTATTTATGTACACATGTATTCAAGAAACGTGTAGGATATATTTGGTTATATTTGGTTCTATATGTATCTGAATACATATAGAACCCAATATATCCAGCAAGTTTCTTGATTACATATATACGTAAATATTCACATAGAGCTTGATTGTATCATACACATGTGTATGTTTTTGTGCTTTGGACTAATTTAGTCAGAGGCCTTTTGTGGTTTGGTTTTGGTTTTGTACAATGAAAAGATCAGAACACAATTTATTCTGCAGCCATTTCACAGGAAGAGTGTAGTTGTAAGTAGTACACACTGTTGATATAATAAACAGAATGTATAGTCAAAACGTCTCCTTTTTTCTTCCTAAATCAGGAAGGAATACTTTGTGTATATGAGCATCACCATGAGTCAGTGTGGTGTAGTAGTTTGAACGCTGGACTATGACTCTGGAAAGTAGGGTTCAAATCCCCACGCAGCTATGGAAGCAAGTCACACACTCTCAGCTTCAAAAGAAGGCAAAGGCAAACATTTTCTGAACAAATCTGTGATAAGTTCTCCTTAAATTGGAAAAAACTTGAAGGCACACAACAACATGAACATAACCAGGGTGAACCTGCAAGAAGCCAGGTAAAGATAGTTTATTCGCAGAGAAGGAAGTCTGGGGCTCATTCAGCAGACTCCATTATTTCACAATGTAGCAAGTGACGTAATACACATCAATCTAAAGCCATTAAGTCAGGAACAAGCTAGCTGAGAAATTCTGAGAGTAGAAGTCCCAAATAATAGCTTTTCCAAGCTCTGGTTCAGAGTCTAAAACTCCCGCATGCAACATTAACTTGCACTTAGTCCCTTCTTGTATTTTAATACTCAAGATATTACTATATTCACAATTTCACCCATGTGGGCAGAAAAAGATGTCGATTTGCAGGGATTAAGAGGAACATGTTCTCTCTACATAAACAGAATAAATACATTGTAATGATTTTACTGCCATATTAATCCTTCACACTGATGCACACTGCAAAGCAGGGAACAATTTCTTCCCACTGAAATGCAGTTACCTCTGGGGAAGTATTCAGTAGCTGCAAACACTAGGCAGCAGCAGTCTTACAGCTGTTTAAGGAAGACAAGATAGGTACATGTGAGAGCCAGCATGCCGTAGTGCTTTGAGACCATGGTTCAAGTCCCTGCTCAGCCATGGAAACCTACTGGGTGACTATGAGCAAGCCACACACTCTCAGCCTCAGAGGATAGCAATGGTGAACCCCCTCTGAAGAAACATGCCAAAAAACCCTCACGACAGGCTTGCCTTAGGGTCACCATGAGTCCGAAATGACTTGAAGGCACACAACAAGAACAGGTGAAGGTGGCTGGTTCTGTCTCACCCAAAGCAAAAGGGCAGGGGAAGCACCTTACAGCCAAATATCTTCCAATGCCACACTGAAGGTTTATTGTCAGGCACCAACAAATCTACTCACCAGTCTGCTAGTGGCAATTACTGATGAACACCATTGGTGAACACCACCAAGATTCCTATCACAAAAGGTTTCATTTCCACTGCTTTTTCTGATCAGTTGTTACAGGGATGCTCTCCATGCTGCATCCCACATAAACGAAAATGGATCCTCATAAATGAAAAAGGATCCTACTGCCCCCAGTACATGTAAGAGGACTCAGAGGAGAGGACTGGTAATGACTGCAAGAAAACGCCAACATTTGCAGACCCGCTTATCATTCAACTGTTACTCTGATGAAGTAACCACAAAGTTCTTATTTTTATTGCTGAAGGCCCAAACACTAACCTCTACAGGGTTACGCCAGTGGTATTTTTAAATACTTGTATTTAAATATCCCTGAGGAACTCTACCTACTCATGAATCAGCTACTTTCCACAACACCCTAGGGATCGGAGTGCTGTTTTGTTTTGTTAAATAGACTTAAGAGATCAGAATTTAGCTGAATTTAGTTAACAGAACCAAAAAAGAGAACACATAAGTAAGTAAAGACTGGTGCTCCTTTTGGAGCTGTGGCCAATGGATAGGGGAGCATAACGTGAAAAACAATTAATACAAATGCATGCCTAAAAAGACTGTGAAAATACCCTAAAACTTACTTGGGGGGCCATCCTTTCCATTTCACCAGATATTCCACTTTGCCCTAGAGAAGAAGAGGAGGGAAGAGAAACAAAATCAACTATTGAACCAGGTTGCACAAAAAGATGAAGTCACTTGACACCGTAATGAACATCCCACACGTTTTAACTTATCCACTTCCTTGGTATGTAAAACACAAATCTCTCCTCTGGTTTGTCGGGTAAGACGTACGCAATGACCTTCTTCGAATGTTTCCGGAGCATGTATGGCGATCCCAAAGGCCCATGTGGATAATGAATAAAACATATATGAGAAATTAAAATAAATAAAAATATTTCTGCCATGTGGTCTGGCTTGTTTGGTATTTGTTTTACCTTGCTGTACTCATCCCTTCTCCTGCATCACACATGACCTCTACTTCCAGTATTCTGCATAATCGGTTTGATAAGGTTTCTGCATCTAGGTGGCATGATCTTATAAAAAGGACTGGGCATAGAGCTGGTGGCAGGTCTATGGGATGGTTTTCAGTGTAGCAGGCAGACCTACCTAAGGTCTTGCAGATAGCTGCCTGGGGAGGTTTGAGTTCCTCATCTTCTCCTCATTCCCTCCCCCTCACACCTTTGCAGCAAGCACAGAACGCCAGCCTGCTGCCATCTCCTTCCTATCACTTTAATACAGGAGGTCATGTGTCCCTGCTGCATGATCGCCGGACCCACCCTGAAGTGATGGATTTCCCACCATACATGGATGGGTAAGGAAGGCTGAAGGAATAAACTCCACCCAACTGGCAGTGTTTGCAACCACTCTGTTACTCTGCAGTAGACGTTTCAAAAATATTGCACGCAGGACTGCAAAGAGGCAAGAGACCAGGAAGAGACACTGAACTAAATAATAATAATAATAATAATAATAAATAAATCTGGAAGTAGATGCATCTTTAACAGGATTCCACATATTTTCCAATGAGTGGGTTTAGCTTGCAAATATTAAGGAAAGGTTGCCTCACAAGATGGGGAAGCTCTCACCAGGCACTAAGGAAAAAACAGTGGTTTTCACCCCTCTAATATTAGAGTTTGGAAAAGTAAATGGACTACAGCTCCCAGAATCAATCCCAGCCAGGACAGTCAGCAGTCATGTTGGCTTGGGGATTCTGGGAGCTGCAGTCCACCAAAACAATTCTTGCAAGTTCTGGGCATTTCAGGAAGAAAAGTCCAAGGAATAGAAGTTGTATGTGTATAGCCTTCTCCATGCCCACATCGCAGTATTACTCCTTCATAATGAGTCGTCCCATTTTAGTCTGCTAAGTCAAACTGGCCTTTGCAGACTGCCAGAAATAGTGCAAATTGAGTCCACTTTAAGGGTTAGGGTTAGTGCTAGGGAATCATGGGAATTGTTTTTTTTTTCTGAGACATTGAGCCGTATCTGTCAGAGCTCTGGTGCCACAATAAAATACAGTTCCCATGATTCCCTAACCCTAACCCTAACCCTAACCCTAACCCTAACCCTAACCCTAACCCTTAAAGTGGACTCAATTTGCACTATTTCTAGCAGTCTGCAAAGGCCCTTAACCAGGCTATAAGAAAAAGATACAGTTCTGTTTATCCTCCCAAAATTCATCGACTAACTTTGGCCCCAAAGGCAGGTGAAATACTGACAACAAGGGGCTCAAAATTAGTGGCCTAACAACTTGACCTAAAAGTGAGACAAGACAAGCTGGCTATGCAATGACACTCAGTTCTTCCAGGATGCATCTCAAGTTTCGGTAATGCCTTCAGGTCTACCAAGCTTCCAAAACAGTATGCAAAAGGATCTGTAGCACCTCTGAGACTACAACTGAAAGAGAAAAGTTGGTAGCTTGAGCTTTTGTAGACTTGAGCCTATGGGTCAAATGAATCAGAGGAAGTAGGCTCAAGTCTACAAAAACTCATGCTACCGTCTTTTCTCTTTCAGTTAGTCTCAAAGGTGCTACAGATCCCTTGGCATACTGTTTTCCCAGACTAACACAGCTATGTCTTTGAAAGCTTCAAAAAGATACTTTTGTTTTCCACATGCCGCTCTCTGCACGACTCAGGGTGTTTCTACATTGCAGAAATAATACAGTTTGGCACCACTTTAAGAACTGTCGCACCATCCTATGGAATGTAGTTTCACAAGGTCTTGAGTCTTCTCTGCCAAAGAGTGCTGGTGCTTCACCAAACCACAAATCCCAGGATCCTGTAGGATGGAGCCATGGCAGTTAAAGTGGTGTCAAAGTGCATTATTTCAACAGTGTAGATGCACCCTATGGAGCGGAGACCCGGAAAAGTAGGTGAACAGTCCAAGCTAAAGGTCAGATGCGTTGGAAGTTTGGACATCCACCAATTCTATTGGATTTTTCTTCCAGGAAGCATCCTGGCCTGTGGTTATACAGTTGTCATTAGGGTTCCTAATCCTGCAATCCAAGCAAGAGTAATATTTGGGAGTAAGGGCTTTTGCAGACTGCCAGAAATAGTCCACATTAAATTGAGGCACTGCCCTGGCTCAGTGCTAGGGAAACATGGGAACTGTAATTTATTGTGGCACCAGAGCTCTCTGACAGAGAAGGCTCAATGTCCCAGAAAAAAAAATACAGTTCCCATGATTCCCTAGCACTGAGACAGGGCAGGGCCTCAATTTAATGTGCACTGTTTCTAGCAGTCTGCAAAGGCATTCAGTTGTTCACTGCCATGGAGTCGATCCTGACTCACTGTGACCCTATGGATGAGACATCTCCAGCCCCCCCTGTCCTCTAATGCTCTGCTCAGGTCCTGCAAACTCATATTCTTGGTCTCTTTAATAAAGTCCATCCATCTAGCATGTGGGCTTCCTCTCTTTCTGCTTCCCTCCACCTTTCTTAGCATTATTATTTTTTCCAATTTTTCACGCCTTCTCATGATGTGGCCAAAGTACAATAGCCTCAACTTAAGACCTTTACAGACTGCCAGAAATAATGCAGCTTGAGTCCACTTTA